CATTCACTTATAAGTACGACGCGCTAACCGACTGCGCCAATGGGGCACGTTTGGTCGCAGTTCAACGGATATTGCGGATCCAATATTTCTTGGAAGCAGATTGCAATAAAAATTACTTTAACCATGTAAGGGAAATTGCAAAAATTATCCAATTACATCATCGTTGCTTTTCGTCGGAAGCTGGAATTGATCGTGGTCGTATCGTGATTGAAAATCAAATTCCTGCATCCTGGAATATGTGGGAAAAAGGTACTGTTAGTTTTTTGCGAAATTCTCAAGGCGTTGATCACTTTTTTCATAAGAGGTGAATCCGGCATGATAACGCTCGTAGACCGCCTCCCCCATACCACCATTTGCTCAATTTGTTGACAGTTTTGAGCTTATCGTTTCCGATCAGCGCGTTGTCCTTATGAGTTAATGTGGAGTGCGATGGTCTGCAGTCCGAACCTGCTATGGGTCAAAACATTCCGTACTTTTAGCATATGTTGGGTCCGAATGTGATTTGAATCAAAGAAATTTCGATGGATAATGATATTGTTGCGTTTTTTCGATATTGTGATTTTTACATGGAAGAACTGCTCTTTAAAATAAATGCAGAGATCGAATTGGAATTCGAAAATTTATTGAAGCTGCCCAAATCTTGACTTTCTTTTAGGGTTTCAAGAAGGGGAGATCGACAAATTAATGTTGAAATGATTGGCTATGCAAATCAGCCTGTTGCAGGCTGTGATGGGAGGCTGCGAAGATGGAGGATTTACGGTGCACCACACGGTCACAGGAATGCGTTAGGCACATCTTTCATAAATATAAGTGTATTCATTTATCTATACAACTATCCATATCACTTGGACTCAACCTCATTACGGTTACTCTTCTTAATTCAACTCTTATTAAATTGCCCGTCCATGCAATAATCCTTTTCTCGTGCCCAGCATTCATCGACTATTAATTGTGGTCTTATGATTTTTTATTTTATTGTTAACACTCCAGCTATGTAATTATTATTGAACGTGACAATTGCGACTGTGATGAATGATATGTGACGACCGTGTGTGCCCCATTGGCGCAGTCGGTTAGCGCGTCGTACTTATAAGTGAATGAGAGATGCGAAGGTCAGCAGTTCGAGCCTGCTATGGGGCAGATTTTTTCCTCTCCAATGATCCGGTAACGCGGACGCATGCGTGAGCATTTTGTGTGTGGAACGATGAATCCGTCCTAGAATACTTTTCACATTTTAAAATACTTTCACAGGACCCATGGCTTTCGAAGATATTCGCGTGGGCTGTTGCTTTCGAAATCGGCCATCTTCTCATGTTCCGAAAAAGATTTTTTCTTCCGATTTTACCCGGCAATTTGGTTTCAGTATATTGACAAATTGTTGGGTAGTAGTTGAAAACTGTGAGTTCAGTCCTCATCTGCGAATAGAGTTTATTTTGTCGCTTGCGGTGTTCTCAATAATTTTAATGTAGTTCACATGCGAGTAACAGCACACTTCAGGATTTCATGTTCATAAACTTCAAATAAGTTGACTATCTTTAATGCAGTAATTTTAAAGACGGAACAGCCAGCTTGAAGAGGGAACCAACAGAAGAATCACTCATGGCTTTCATGCTTATTAAAACCGATGGATATTTATGGCAATCTGTGTGATTCACTTATACGTATTTTTAAGGTTTCCGTACGATTTAAGGTTAAAGATTTTAAGCGTGTAATTCACATAGGTATATATTACGGGAGTTTGTCATATTGTTAATTTTGCCAAACCAAGGGAATCTGTCAAACTTATGCAAATCAAGGGAATTAATTTGTCAGATCAAGGGAATTTGTCAAATTTGATATCAACTGCACCATAGCATCAAAAATAATCAAGCAGTAAATGAAAACATTGAATTTGGGTAATTATGAAAAGATTTTTGTGTAAAATTATAAACAGAAGATTAAACTGTGATGAAATATTTATTTGAACGAGTAGTGTGTGAAGAATGATTAAACCATTTGAAGCTGTGCAGAAGGATGACTGCGAACGCAGCAATTCAAAGAAATACGAACAAATCCCATATCCAAACCCCTCCGCATTCAAATGGGCGAATAATGAGGGGATTATGTGCATGACACTGAAAATTGTATCGGAGTGTTCATACTCGATTCATGCAATGAAGAGAACAAATTTCAGCGTTTACTACTTTATTCTTTCCAAGGAAACTTGAATACCTTTTGTTTCGTTCCATTCTATTGAACTGATTTTGTCCCATACACACTGATTTTGTTCCATTCTGCTGAACACCCGGCTGGCAATGGAGATTTTGTAAGCATCATAAAGCACGTCAACTGACCATGGCAGGGAAGTGACTGAGTGGTTATACTGCTAATCGAGAAAAATCTGTTGACAAATTCCATAAAATAATATAACTAGGAAAGGAATGTTGTGCGTTGACGAAATTTTCAACATCTATGAGACAAACTCTGATTATCGTATTTTACCTCAAGAAACGCTAGCAGTTCATCTGAAAAAGCGACAAAAGGTGTCATCTCGAAAACTCATGTAACGCGTCAAGAGGTTTCATTGACTCATTGAAAGCTTCAGTCCCGAACAGCATTGCGAAGGAATGCTGATCAAGCCAATGAGGAAAGAGGATTATTTTTCTTGGAGGTTCAATTCAATCTGAGTGGTGGATGGGGAAGCGGTCAATGGGCTGCACTTGCATCGCGTCTTGGTCCCTCAGCCTAATCAATGCACTGTGAAACTCAACATATCAAATGATTTTAGTCATCCGAATGGACGGACCCAAGACCCAAACAGTTCGAATATGGCAGAATAGATTGCATTCAAAAATTACTCGTCCAATAACAACCATAGTGATGATACTTCATCCGTGAAATCCAGAGAGACCTTCACAAAGGATGGAACTCATAACGAAGGGCTTTATTCAAGACAATATCACAATTGGAAAAATCAATCCTGAAACATCAATATTAACAATAAAACCACCTGTTCTTGAAATATTCAAAAAAACAATACATAAAAGTTATTCGATAATTATCGCACAAAAAACACCACAACAACACTAACGTAACTTTAATTCTTAAATGTTTCAGTTAAATACACAACATGAAAGAATTATGCTTTGAAGAAAGTGAGAGCAAGACTTTTAGAAGCGTTGAAATTACGGCGTTTCACAGAAACGATAGTGACTCAATAAGATACAGACAATTGAATTTACAAGAACAGATGCGTAATTATAAAAAAAGAAAACAACTCTACAGGATATTCGCAACGCAACAAATTATTACTTTAATTGAAAAAAGCTGGTATGGAGAGGATCAGAGAAATTTCAAGAATGCAAAAAGTGTAGACCAGGGATCCCCATAGTGGAGAAATACCCATTTATGGGTAATTTGGGATACCAGGAGGGTAATGGATGGAGTCGGCGGCAAGTTAGTTCTGACATTATGCGTGGAAATAGTGAATTGGTGCAGCGGGAGGGAGTGGGAGGTGGGGATAATGACTGCCTACCAGACCATCGAAGGGGGTAATTAGAGCACCCGAACGTGGGAACCACTGGTGTACACAGATAATCATACTTCTGCTACTGCGAGTATCATGGGTAAATTTGTATAATACTTATCGCCTGAAATTGAATGCTTTCATTATACTACATACTTGCACAATCAACTGTTGCATGCATGATGAAATTTTATTTGATTTATAATTACACAAACTGACGTCACTTTTTTTAATGGAATTTTTTGGATTATGTTCTAATTTTCAAGGTGTGCAATATTTCTTGTCCCTTGGACTGTATGCATAATCGCGCCACAACTGAATAGTCTACCTATTTTCAAAACCAACTCTTCAGAAAAACAAATGAGAATTTCTCAGAATCCAGTAAGAATCTTTCTGAATAAACATTAACGATTAAGATGAGGGAATGAAATTAGCGGGCATGAGGCGAAAGAAGCTTTGTTCATCAGACCAGAAGAAGTGTTCTCAGTGGACTGATTGTTGAGTTGATGAATTCATCGACAGTTTCCTGGTAAAAGTAAGGCGACATAGAAGATCGTAGCTGAAAAAAGAATCAAACGCATCAGAATTTCTGAAAGATTCAAAAAGTATTTTATTAAAAAACAAACATCACATTCGTGAGAGGTGAGAACTCAATGAAGGTACGAATAGAATTTGGAACTGATCAGTGACGTTTCTATATATTTCTAAAGATTTGCTTATCCAAAGATTAAAATCGAGCACGTTCAAAATTGTCTAATTTAAAATAAAAGGATCTTTCGTTGGTATGAAAGTTCAGGCTATCACCGTTTACGATTGTAATGACCCACACTGCGATGAGTAAAACAAAAAATATCCATAATGAGTATCGCTTTAATCTGGGTAAGAAAATTTGCCCGAAATTTCCGTAATCATTAGAGTATGACTGGAATCATCCGAATTATAAATATATCGCAATCAATATACTGAGGATGTAAACCGAATTCTGTTCAATAACCTTTCGCTCAAATTCGCTGAGTTGCTTTAAAATGGAATCTTTCACTTCATTCGAATAAACAAATCGATGCAATCGCCATACATCGAACCGTAATCTTTCAATCTAGAATTCCATACTCTCGGAATTTCACAGTGTGAACATAATCAAATAATGATGATTCTATGGTTCAGATTTTGAATTTTGAAATCTAAATTCGAGTCAATTTGATAATCTCAACCAACGATTTGAAACGTTTCCCCGGATCACATTTGTGAATCAAGCAATGTGAGTGGTTCGTGAACAATTAGTGAACGTAAATGTTCGTTAGATAATATGAAATGATTACAATATCATAGATCTGATGGCCAGGGAATGTACAATTCGTGTATGCTATATCAGATGGCGGATAGTACGATTCCGTGCCTAACATGATTGGCGCGAATTCGGGTTCTGGAGATCTGCAGTCCAAAAATTCCTTAAAATGCCTGCCAAAGTTATTTGAGAGTTTCTTAACAGCGTAACAAATGAATGTGTTTCGTATGGAAAGATTCATAGTTGAGAACAAGTACGAAATGAACATCGATTACATAGAAAAAATTCAAAACGAATAAATTTCTAAAACAAACTAATAGTTGTATCCCAAATGTATGAGAGTACAAAGATGCACATTTATAAAATGAGTCCAGAACGGTGCACATTTATTCTCAACTTGACTACAGCAAAATGTCAAAAATCAACGAACAACTTTATCACATGTATACTGTTTGCAAAAGATCAATCGAAATTCAATCAGAAAACTGATTTCGTAAATTTTCAAAGATTTGGCTAAACTTTTAAAAACACAAAGAAAGTTCAATATGAGAATTCAAACATTCGAAAATGAGCTGTAATAAATGAGTCAAATCAAAAACACACTCGTGTTAATCGACGCAATTCATCAACTGCTACTGTTGTATTGTTCAGATAAACAATATCCATAACTAACGATGGGATTCCAACCGGTAATATTTCACAGAGTGGTAGCGTATGCGAGTATCTTTGCCATCCAGTTAAGATGATTCCTTTCAGACGCCCAATCAAATGCTTAAACTTTCATTTTTAACAGCTGGATCAATCTCCCCGCGACAATATTCAAAAAATAGACCAGAACAGTCAAGACTCGAATGCAAAATAATGAGTTAAACATTCGACGATATGTATTGAGGAACAATGAAGCAAAATATGAAACTATGATAAAGTTTGAAGTAATACGATTCGAACATTCTTTTACGATATCCGTTACGAAAGAATGGATAAGTCAAGATAATTTAAAGGTATAACTAGTGATTAAAAAAGAAGGAACTAAACGAACCGTTTCATTGATCCGATACAAATCCACATAAGACAGCTGATTCGCTAAATAACGATCTGCATTTGCAAATTTCTGATCTTTTCCATTTGCACCTTTGAACGCACTAGCAAACATCAGTCGATCGAAAACCTCAAGTATCATATTGTTTAAAGAAAATTGCAAATGAAACGAAAAACTTATTGAAACATAAAAATAATGAAATGGCGTTCTGATGAGTGCAATGACGAAACGATAAATGAATGACGCAATGAAAACCTTTGAGTATCTTTCGAACATTCCACCAGGAAAGTAATTCGGTTGTGTCACATTCACGGAATAACCCCAAACAACAGGCGTTAACAATTCACCCAATTTATACTGCAACAACAACTGCTCATTTGTTTCACCGAACATATCGTTCCACGCCAACACCTCATCAAAACCCAACTCATGCTTTGCAAAATTCGCCGTTCTTAAACGTATTATTAACATCAGCATTAATGAATTATTATTGTTCCTGTTTTATCACTATCGGTATCATTACTGTCACCACTGTATTCATCACTGTTACTGCTTTAATTTCCAAAAATGTTTGCATCACAATCAACTGTATTCGCATTATCATTCCTAACAAACGCTTTTCTTGCAAAAAATCGCACTGTAACCTCGCTATGGTCTCACAACGTATCATTCCATGATACTGCTTCACAGGAGGGTTCCACCTCAAAACTAAATCAAGTTTGGAGGCAATTTCACGCTCAATTCAGCAATTCGAACAATAACAAGACCTGGAGATATGCGAAAGTTTTAGTCGTTCAGTTGAAGATCCAAGTTCAGACCGTAATCGATCAAGGCATCGCTGATCTTTTGCAATTTGCCACGCTTCATCAGATCCGATATGAATTCGTTTTGATTCTGGATGGAGAGCACGAACCTAGATTGAGCCGAAACATAGATCCCTTTAACGTTCGAACAGAATGAAACATCCTAACTTCCAATGATAGACATAGAATTACATAGAACAATGACATCTATGAGTGGTCATTTCAAAACATAGAATTTCATTGTAATAACAATAATGATGATACTTGGCGGAGCATTTCGGTGATCAAGATCCACGATCCACTTTCCGACGGACAAATAGTATCGATTTGTTCTTGATCTTCTCGTAAATATGCGAATCGATTGTATTTTAATGCGAATTCCATATGCCCAAACGTTTGAACCAATGGAATTACTTCGAGATCATTTTGTTTAGCCATCTGGAAATGCAGTAAACAGAAGATAAAATCGAAGCTTTAAAAGAATAAGGATCATGAACGAAAACGAAAAACATTAACAGTACAAATGAGCAAGTATGAGATAAAAATAATAATGTTAATGATAATATCGATGGTGATAATAACAACAGCAATAATAATGATGAATTCGAATCACACTGAGTATTGACGCAATTTGGTCTCTCGTATAGGCGATTGATCGTTTTAAGATGGCGATATCACCCGAATACGGAAACATATCTTCATATTCCATCAATACGCCATCGACATTTAATCGTTTCAGCATCGGAAATAATTCAGCGTAATACTCAAGTTTAGGTGGAGCACCCTTCAGATCAAAATGCACGATCTTCTGCAATGTAATAAAAACTGAAAATCGATTAGAAAGTTGGAGAGAAGAGACTGAACAAGAAATGAAGAATTGTTGTAAAAGAGGAAATACAAGAAACCAAAATGAAATTTATAAGATAATATGAATTAGGATTGAATAAATTTATTTTTTCATTTTAGTTACTTGACCATTTGCTATTTCATACTCTTAACCTTTCAATTAACTGATTCATCATCCAGTTCCAAATGGAACAACTTAAACAAAGTTTTCCTCTCTCATTCTATGAAAGAAGCTTTTTGCAGTGAGCAAAACAAGAGAAGCAATAAATAGGGACAAAATAGTGGACGGTTCATTTGCATAATACGACAATAAAAAGAACTGAAGATAACCTGATCAAAAGGATTGACAGTTCTTAGCGGTTCCATCTTACGCAGTGAACCGAAATATTTTTTGGATAATGATGTAGACTCTGACGAGAGTGCTACATAGATGAATATAAAACTGACGATTAGAAATAGTATCAACGATGAGGTGCAACCTGTTGACAGATGTGCTGTGCGGAGCATAACGCTTCGTACATATACCTTCAAACTTCTTGACATCTGCACTTCTTTTCTGCACATTCACTCATATGAACGTACAAAACCTGTATGACGATTTTTTGCTATATGAACGGACGCTTAATGTATCTTTCTATTGATAATGCATTCATAAAAACGAAACACTTTGGGCTTCAATCAAAATTTCAGTTTCCGTGATGAATGTTTCAAAATTTCAGTTTCCGTAATGAATGCTTCAATATGATTGATTGAATTTGAGGGAAACACAATGAACAGTTTATTGATAATTAATTGATGAGAAGGAAACGTGGACAGCTTCCACAATACAAAACTTTCGAACATATGAAACGGTTTGTACAACACCAGATAATAGCACTGATGCAATATAATTTACGAAATGTTTTCGCATTATATAATAACAAAATTGTTTTATCATGCGGATACATAGCATGTAAATTGCAAAAACATATTACAAATTTCGTATAAACAATTATGTTGCGTTATATTTAAAAACTGAAAGAAGTCATAATATTGTTTTCTTTCAGTTAGCGTTCAGTCCATGAGAACATAAATGTTTAACTTTGCAATGGGAAACATTTTGAATGGAATAGCCCATAAAGAAAACATTTAAAGCATATTCTTATCACTTTTCTAAGGTTATTCTGAATGAAGCTAGGAATGATTGAGTACGCTTATGACTCCGAACACTTTCATGAGCTGATGTCGCAAAATAATTGCATAGTTGTCCCGAAGCTCCTTTAACTGCATCTGGCGTGCAAGAAACTTCATTATAAACTTCCTTTAAATATCTACGGCTAAAAATAATGCACAAATTGATGGTAGATGGGAATAACTTGCAATTTCGCTAACAACAAGAATCCGATGGTGGATAGTCACATTTATGCACGTGGAGATATTGCGATAGAATCATCATGCCTCACATGATTGTTCATTGTTCGGACAGTAAGCGGTCCGTTTGCCGATCGCTCTGGGCAACGGGCAATAGGCCTGCCCGCTTAGCCAGTGGGGTGGCGTCATCTGCGGCTAAAACAATGCGAAGAATAACCCTGGCCATATGTATTTACAACCGCAGGTCATTGGCAGGGTGGACCGGTTTGAACCATCTAATGGAGGAAAAATAGAAATAAAATGCGATATATTAGGGTTCTGCGAGAGACGATGGAAAAAAGAAATAAATGCGAAATGGAGGGATGGATGCGCTATCAGATTTAGGAAAGGTGAAGGCACAAGAACTATTGGAGGCATAGGTTTCACCATCGGAAAGGAATGGGCTGGAAGATAATATCATGCATGATTTTATCAGCTCTAATAGGTGTACTGAACGTTCAGCTGACAGAAAAAGCCACCCTCGAAGTCATCCAAATATACCCCCCAACAATTGCAAATGACGACGATGAAATTGAAGAATTCTATAATGAACTGGAAAAAGTTCTAGCTCAAAAATCCACTTATACCGTCGTCATGGGGGATTTCAATGCAAAGGTTGGGAGAGGGCGGCAAGGGGAGAAATACGTTGGGAAATTTGGAATAAAGGGAAGAAAGGATAGAGGCGAACGTTTGGTAACCTTTGCTGAAACAAATCGGTTTTATATTGGAAACAGCCTGTTCAGGAAAAAAAATGGACCTGGATTACTCCAAATGCTGAGCACAAGAACGAGATTGATTACATCACGATTTACAGGAGACGACTACTCCAAGACGTCTCAGTGATAGCACCTTTGAACACTGGTAGCGACCATCGTTTACTAAGAGCAAGAATTGTCCTTGACAACGCAAGAGAGAAAAAAGCACTGAACATCTCGTTAAAAAATCAACGCAGAAAAGCCCTCAACGAAGCAATGTTACGAAATGCTATCAAGAGCGAGGACTGGAACCAACTACGAGACATTGACGAAGATTATAACTCGCTAATTAACAAACTAAAGGGTTATTTAAGCAAGGCTTCCACTGCTAACCAATGTGATCACCAAGGAGAAATCTCCGAAAAAACGAAGAGCATGATGAGAAGAGTGAAAAATTTAAAAAGGAATGGCAGCAATCTTATTGAGTACTCAATCTTGTGCAAAGCTATACGGCAGCACTTGAAAGAGGATTTCTTAAAATGTCAAATGGATGAATTAAAAGAAGCTGCAGAAGGAAGAAAAAGTTTGAAGAAATGCAGGCGGAGAATGATTCTATATAAACCAGAGATCACAGCATTACGGATCCAAGATGGGCGGATAGTGAGAAATAAAAGTGAAATGGAAATAGTGTGCGAACTCTCCTACATGAATCTTTTCAAATCATCAATTCCACTCATTCCCCCTTTACCTCAACAACAGAAGAAGTGCCACCAATTCTGCAATGCGAGATCGAGAATGCTCTTCAAATAACCAAAAACAGCAAGGCCCCTGGAAAAGATAGAATAACGTCGGAAATGATCAAATTTGCAAGAGAAACCTTCTGGAAAGCTCTTGCTGTGCATTTTAATAAATATCTCAGAGAGGTGAGAATACCTTCACAATGGAAGGAGTCAAATACCACCCTGCCACATAAAAAGGGCGATAAAGAAGACCTGAAAAATTATCGTCCTATTTGCCTGCTATCCCACTTATACAAGCTGTTCACTAACTCAAGATCATAGTCATAAGATTATCTAATGATCTGGACTACCAATAGCCAAGGGACCAAGCAGGATTTCGAAGAAACTACAATACGATGGATCATATAATCGCCCTGACACAGCTAATAGAACGGGCAAGAGAATATAAATAACCTCTTTGTATTGCATTCGTTGATTATGAAAAGGCTTTTAATAGCTTCGAGATAAATGCAGCATTGAAATCTCCTGAGAAGCAGGGAATCGAGACTCAATATATCAATTTGCTCAAAGAGGTGAACTCGCATTGCACCACCGATATAAATCTACTGTCTACTCCGATAACAATCCCTGTTGAAAAAGGTGTGAAGCAAGGAGATACTGTTTCTTCCAAACTCTTCACGGCTTGTCTCGAAATAGTCATTCGAGAAACCAACTGGGACGGTGGTGTTAATATTAATGGGGAAACACTAAATCATTTTCGATTTGCAGATGACATCGTGCTCATCGCCGAAACCACAAATGAATTGCAGTCCATGTTGACCGAGCTCACATTAAGAGTGAAGTTGTTGGACTAAGACTAAACCGCAAGAAAACAAAATTCATGCGGTCAAATAACATTGCACCAGACCGATAAAAGTGGATGACGATGAAATCGAAGAAGTGACCGAATACATACTTAGGGCAAACGGTAAATATGAGCCGAGATATGAAAACTGAAATTGGAAAAAGGATAAGATCAGGATGGAAAGCATTCAGCTCGATCAAAGATGTACTGAAACAGAAAATAGTCAAATCCCTCCGCGCTCACCTCCTTGATAGCACAGTTTTACCAGCGTTGTTATACGGAAGTGAAACGTGGGTCATAACAAAGAGGGAAGAACAACGCCTAATAACAACACAAAGAGCGACACATATTAGGACACATATTAATAACAACACATATTAGGAATATCGTTGCGGGAACACATCCGGTGCGAGGAGATTCGCCGATGAAGTGGACTGAGAAACGTGATCACAGAGTACAGGAATAGAAAGCTACGTTGGGCAGGCCATGTAGCAAGAATAAATGGTGGCACGTTCAACTCCAAATATCACATAAAAGATTGTGAGAATTGCTGGAACACGGAAATGCTTTGATTTCATTTCGATATTGGACAGTATGGAATAAGTGGAATATTTTTGCAAACAATATTGCAGTCAAGTTAAGAGTCAAGTGAAGAAGAATGCCCATACGCTGCACGCAAACAAAAAGCGACTGAATCATACTGAATCACGACTGAATCAGCGATGAAATTTGCATTAACGAGGAGATATATTATCCATATAACACTGGAATGTAAGAAAATGGCGAATATAAGTCGCCGAATATTTATTCGCAATGTCATGCGAACAAAGCTCTGCAAAATAACTCATGTTCACATAAATATGAGATGATCGCTAGGCATCAGAATTCGAAGTTTAGATAGCAACAAATGATAGAAGTGAGGGATGATTCGTAGCGCAGCTAATGTTACCTATCTAAGCCTACATTTTTATTTTTGAATGTTTGGTTTACGAAAAAACAAAGAAATTGCTTTGATCAAACACTAACAACTGTGGAAATCCATATGGAATTATTGCGTGGTGGACAACGAATTTTAGTTTCACAAGAGTTTATATGAACATTTTTCGCTGTTTAGTGAGGAAAGATTGAAACGACTTCAAAAATTGAAGATGAAAAAACAGTAACAAAAATTCCAACTGAGAAAAATTCTAAATATCACCTATACTCAGAGAATTTGTGATGAAATTTGGAGCATAACGTATGGAAAAAAATTTTGAACTAAGACGAGTTGAAGAACTTATTTCGAGTACAGGAATTGAGGTGAGTAATT